AGTCCTTTTTTTATGACTGCCCACATACCTTCGATCCTATTGATCAGAAGCAAAAGTAACCTAACCAGCCGGTATCCAACATAGAACTAACGGACTTCTGAAATTACATATACCGTTGAACATTTAAAAATAACGCTGAAATTTAAACGAATCAGAATCACGATTGGGATTCAACATCGGCCAGCTTGGAGATCAACCGCTATCACAACTTGGTGAGAATCAAGGGGCACCCTCAAATATAGTCTACTCCTATTTTTTAAATGAAATAATTAAAATGAATGTGAATTCGCAAACTTTGTAATAATAAACAATCTAATAGTTTTCAAATGACAACTGTCAGCAATGAAAAATTGCATACTAAATTGAGCTAAAATTGCATACTAAATATAAATAATTATTAAAAGCGTGCAAGATGAATAAAATTTGCTTTTGCCTTGATTTTTATTAAACAGTTTTCACAATACTAAATCCGTGATACGACCAATAATTACGAAACTTATTCTCGTTGATTTTACGTGCTTGTGCTCACCTGAAATAAAGAACCGAATTATGATTAAATATTAAAGTATATGTAATTTACTTTTCTAAACGAATAGAGCTATAAGATAGAAAATATCACTGTTGTTATCTTCAAGATATTTGAGAACTGATTCGTGTACAGCAAAATTTAAAACAATGGCTAACTTTTAACCAATCAGAAAATTCCATTTCGATTTTCGCTGATACCGCTGGAACGGTTTGTGGCAGAATGTTCTTTTGTGAATCTAAACCATTCTCGAATCCTTCTGAAGGTACACAGAAAATTTCATTTAAATCAGTCCAGCCGTTTAGGAGGAGTTCATGGACATACACACGAACAGACGAAATATATATATAAAGATTGTACCAGGCACAGGGATTCGAGTGGGTTGGAAATGAATAAAACAGTTCTTAAAACTTCAAAAATTTATTGGTAGAATTTTCCAGAAAATACAGCAATTTCCAGCACTGAGTTATAGCATGAATAATTGGCTAGTATACAGCAAATCACAAACCTTGAAACTTCAGACGGTTCACAAGAGACTCGCAAATCAGAACACTATTGCAGTCAGGGACCGATCAAGACAAATTCAGGCCCAAAGCCCACCAAATTTTCTGGGCCCCTTACAAAATATTTTGAAATTAAATTACTGAAGAATAATGAAAAAGAATCCATTAATCTGCATGATTCAAGAGAAACATTCTAAGAAATTTTAAAAGCAGACAATTGAATATTATTTTTCTAAGAAAAAGTTTACGTATATATAAATTAAAGCAAAATATAAAGCAACAATACAATATTATGTCAGAATAAAAAACAGTTTGGTGACCACAAACAATTGAAATCAGTGATTTTTGCTAAAAGTCACTGATTAGCTGAATTAATTTTTTTTAGTANCGTATCTATAAATTAAAGCAAAATATAAAGCAACAATACAATATTATGTCAGAATAAAAAACAGTTTGGTGACCACAAACAATTGAAATCAGTGATTTTTGCTAAAAGTCACTTTTTTTAGTACTTAAATCAAGACATAGCTAGCCCACCTTTAATTAGCGTTTTTACTAATTTTTGAGGCCCCCTCAGAAATTGTGGGTCCTAGGCCCAAGCCTATTGGGCCTAGGCTATAATCAGGCCCTGATTGCAGTTACAAACAGTCTAATGTTCTCTTCTCTTATACTATAAAGCATACTCCTATTTATATAGGCTTGGAGAAGCAACCCCGGAACTTTCGACGTGATCTTAGACATTTCTCGAATAACTCCGTAAAAATTAGTTCCATCTCTTCGAAACTCGAATTTTCCAGAACTATAATTTTGTCGTCAAAATTGAAGGTCAAATATCGATTGTCAAGTTGGCAACAAAGTCTGTTTGGCGTCTTTTTTGACAAGAGTTTCCCATAAGAAATGCATTAGGCGTTATTTCACTCAAAATAACGTTAGAATTTCGCGACTTTTCATAAAATAACTTTTTCAATTGAACTGTCTGAGATATTATCCTAATGACGAAACAATATTTACAACATTCTACAAATTTTTTTCAAATTTGTAATATTGCCTTCCTCTCAGGGGCGGCATATCCCGGGAAGTACAATCCCCGCAAGGGACACAAAAATAATACAGTACTATGGAACAGCATTATGAAGTTTAAGCTTACATAAAACTTACAAATTGTAAAATATGACATCACATAACACTACATAGATAAAATTACTAAATTCACTTTAGAAATATGAAATAATTTGGCCTTATTTCCAATTAAAAAGACAATGGTAAAATTAATTTATTCCGTGGTGACGGGCTAGCTTATCGCAATGTATCAAGGTACACAATGTACCTTTGGTGTTGGAGATGGGGACTTCCTTTTTCGAACCTCGACGTCATTCTGTCTTTTGAGGAGACTCTTCCGGCTCAGTTAGATTGTAACTTGGGAGAAAGTCCCTTACGTCGGATTGGACTATCATCTTCCTTGAACTCGTGTCCCGTTGATTCGCTTATGCCAAAGTAGTGAACATTTTCCAAACGTGTGTCGATTCTGAAGGTATTCTTCCTGCGATGAAGGCTCAGGCGGAACAGAAGATCACTAAGGAGGCAAAGTTTACTACCAAACAGCAACTTAGTATCCCGTGTTTTGTGTATCCCGTAGTTTCGTGAACAGCCCTGCGAAATGCAAGCAGGAACAGCTGGTGCTTTAAGTCCCAACATTCTGGATCTCTTTACAAAGTGAAGCAAAATAATATCAAAAAATTCAAAATCTAATATTATATAGCATCAAAACTAATGCAAAATAATATTATGGCGAACGCTAGATAATATTAGTTTGTATAGAATCTAATATTATATAAGGCTGAGCAAACAGCGATCTTTTGTATCTTTCTAATATTAGAAGTTGTGCAAGATAACGTTAGATTTTACCGATTTTCTGATGTTATATAATATTATGTGCTACTTGGGATGTTATTCAAGATAGTTCGGTTATATTCTTAACCATGCCGTCCGATTGAGGATGTAAGGCTTTGTCTAAGTTTTGTTTATTCCGAGCATTTGACATAATCCTTTAAAAACAGCACAAGTGAAATTCGCACCTTAGTCTGAATGACTTTGTAAGAGTGTATCAAATCTGGGTACCCATCCCTTATGAAAAAATCGAGGTATAAATGAGGTATANAACATAAGCGGAGGGATACACCGGAAATTTTCTAAATTTCTTCCGGTTTAAGGACGTTTGTTATTGTTTACATTAGAGCACCCATCCATTATTCCTGCGATGAAGGCTCAGGCGGAACAGAAGATCATTAAGGAGGCAAAGTTTACTACCAAACAGCAACTTAGTATCCCGTGTTTTGTGTATCGTGCATCCCGTAGTTTCGTGAACAGCCCTGCGAAATGCAAGCAGGAACAGCTGGTGCTTTAAGTCCCAACATTCTGGATCTCTTTACACTAGATGTGAGATGTTATTCAAGATAGTTCGGTTATATTCTTAACCATGCCGTCCGATTGAGGATGTAACAGGAGTTGTCTGAGTTTTGTTTATTCCGAGCATTTGACATAATCCTTTAAAAACAGCACAAGTGAAATTCGTACCTTAGTCTGAATGACTTTGTAAGAGTGTACCAAATCTGGGTACCCATTGTTGTACTAACACTACCGCTATTGTAGTAGCCTTTTGGTCGGGTATTGGATATGCTTCCGGCCACTTTGTAAAACAATCTATGACAACTAAGATGCCATATGATATTCGAGATAAAGCAACACCTCCTAGAGAAGAAGGAAGGCCTCAGCACGGATCAATTTATTAGTCCGATGTAATGAAGTTAAACTGCTTAGTAGATGAAAAACAAGAAAGATGTCATTACGTTCGAGGTACTAAGCTGCGCAGTGGTGGGAATTACGAAAAATGTAATTTCGTTTGGACTACTAAAGGATCGAGCTTCTTATTCATGGCAACCCGTGCTGAGGCCTGTTCTTTTCTAAGAGGTGTTGGATAAAGGGTGTTACGCTCAAATGCTGCTGCTACATTATAATGTCGAAATCTTCTGCAGTTACATTTCTTCGGTCCCTTCTGAGCCTCACAGCCACCTCAAGATTGACACAAATTTTCATCATTTCTTGACTTCTTTCAGTAGAAACGCTTACGAGGCTTCTTTAGAGTCTTCTTTACCCCAAAGTGAATTCCGGTTGAACTAAATTGCAGTTCTTTCAGAATAGTCGCACTTCTTGATTTAGGAAGTACAAACTGCCGTTTCAAGTTCCATAAAGAAAAGGAATTTACCACCAATCTGTGATAGTTTCAACAATGAAAGATATGTTGTTTTCCTACCTGTAGCTTCATTAGTTTGACACCTACTGCCATTTCAGTAAGAGGAATAAAAATTCCATAGTTTACATTCACGTTGGATAGCAGTGAATTTTTAACATTGTATACACAGCTTTGGAGATAAGCCACATGGCAATTAAAGTTTCTCCCTCTCAAAAACTTGACTGATTTTTTATGTATTTCTAGACTAATCCTGCATTAAGTGCAGGAAAAATAATCATTTTTCTTCAGTTTAAAAAAGTGTAGAGTGAAAGGTCTAAAACAGGGGTTTCCAACTTACAGGAGGCCGGGGGCAGCAATTAGAAACATCATTAAACAATTAATGTGCAACAGATATCAAATTGTTAAGATATAAAACTTAAAAGTATTTAAAATCCATATAGATTTTTTACGAAAACTGTCCGCTGAAAAATGACAACTAATATATTTTAGTTCGCAGACCATTTGGTGAGATAAGATGCAATAATTATTATAAATGAATAAAGAATATGATCATCATAATGAATAATAAAGTGTTTATTTAAATTCTGCACCAAGGATCCCGGACTCGCAATAGCGCATAACCACAAGTCACTGACTATATTATTACAGTGCGTTTAAAACTGATATGGAATTGAATGATTGGGCTATTGTGGTATTAAACACTGAAAATTATATCGATAGTACGATTTAATCGTTTCTTTCATCACTTTGCCCATGACAACTATTGGCTTTTTGTTGTTATTTTTTTATCAGGGCCATTTGTTGTCGGTGTAAACATTAAATAATTAATTTTTAATGTTTTTATTTAAATTTTCTCTATAAGTTATATTTTTAGAGAAATTAAAAAATTAAGATTTAATATATATCCGATTTTCAAAAATTATGACATTAAGTTTCGTAATATATATTTATTGTGCTTAGCGTTAAAAAAGTATACTGCTGTAAAAGTTTTATAAAAAGCGTTTGTCAGGTAAGATTATATATGGTATTCTTTTGTCCACAAATTTATGGTACCTTATGTATTTTTTATTTTCTCTTGTGTTATTGTATTTAAAATGAATATTCAGTTTTTTAACAAAATAAATGTTTCTATATTTTTAAACCCAGGAAAATTTTTTAAATATCCCTTTCATCTAATAATGAAATCTTTTATTTTTAAATACTTCAGCTACAAGTTTTGTTCTGTGCTTAAATGTCATTGCAAGTTTTATATTGCATGTAGGTTAATTTATAATAAAAAAAAGTACTTATAATTTTTACATAATCTAATATATATCTTACAATATGTCTATCTCCTTTTTTACTCATCTGAGTGCTCTTCAAATTTTAAAGCAATTACATTTTGGTACATACATGTAAATAAAGTAGTTTTCGGTTATAGCTCTACTCTGGAGAGATCTTTGGCATATTTCCATATTGATATCTGTTCTAATCATTTGAAATCACTAGAGTGCATTGTGAAATTGTCTGGTTATTTTAAGATTAAAGTAATCTGTCGTGCCAATTACAATCGCCAAGGTGCAAAATATATTTTAAACTTGCAAATTTATTTAAAATAAACATGTAGATGTTAGCCCCCTCCCCATGGCTACAAGTTGGTCCCTTTCTGTGATGATTTTTTGAAAAGTTTTTTTTTAGTTGCTGCTTAGAAGTTGCCAAGAATTGGCGATTATTCTGTCACAGATCAGGATACAGGAAATTTCGCCATAATAAAAACATTAAAAAAAAAAAAAAATATAGTAGTTTATTTATATACATGATATTTTTATCCTTTAGCTGGTTTAAAGGAAATGTGGTTGAAACCATTAACCAAATTTAAATCAATGTGGTTTAAATGAACAGTTTTTTAAAATTATTTTTAATAAGTAAATTTTTTCTATTTATATAAATTATTTTAGTTTTTGAATATAACCAAATAAACAAAATATGTTCACAGACATTTTTTTTACAATATGGAGTTTAATTGCTAATTGGAATTCGTATACTTCAAATAATCATAAATTTGCAATGTTCAAATGTTCATTTGAAGTTGAAGTTTAGGCAAAAATACTTGTGCAAAATAAATTAATGTGAGAAATTTTTAGATAAAATCACGAGGTCTTTAAAAAATTCTTATAACAAAATAAATCATTGCTAATTTTTTGTTCCGTTAGTTTTTGAATTTTTTTTAAATGATGTGACTGTTTAAATAATGTAATTATTTAAAGAATGAAAGTTTCTGAATCTCTATTTTTATATATTTCTGAATGATATATAATGCTTGCTACAGTCTTAAATAAAATTGGGATTAAAGTGCTTTTTTAAATTTTGTTTTTTTTTTCAGATATTTTTTTTCTTTCAAATTTTAGAATTATTTCCTGTTATGTGGGTATACAAATCATATTGTATCTATGCAGGGGTCTGTCCAGGCCGAATTTACTACCGTTTAGCGGTACCTTCACAAATTCAACTTTAGAAAAAATGGTATGCAGGGGTCTGTCCAGGCCAAATTTACTACCGTTTAGCGATCACAAATTCAACTTTAGAAAAAACGGTAGTTTCACAAATTCAATTTTAGAAAAAACGGTAGTTTCACAAAATACTTTTTCTTAAAATTTCATTTTTGTATCCCTTAGGAAACGATAAATCCATATTTTTGTGTTGATTTTTTAATATAATTTTTAATTTTTCACAAATTACGTCTAAATTTTCACAAAATAGGTACCTGTCAGAAAAACCTAGACAGACCCCTGCTATGTATTCTCATTATTGTATTATTTTAAATTACAACTTTTACACCATATTTTTATAAAAAAGATTGCATAAGAAAAAATATTTACAATTCATTTGAAATACCTTCAAGGTACTTTTTTTCCTTAATGCCGCAAGACACCAATAAGAACATTGTTATATTTTAAATTGCTTTATATTAAAATAGCCGACAAAAAAGTGATTTATTCTTTGTTCTTATTCTAATAAAAGTCACTTATTCTAGAACATGTCTTTATTATATTATGTGTTCGTATATGTGTAACCATTTTTCATTTTTGCTTCTTTTCATCATTGTATTAATTATGAATGTATTTAATTGAAATAATACATTGTGTTGAATATTTTCTAGTCCTATATATTAAAATTTTTTATTGATTCAATAAATAAATCGTCCCGCAGTGGACTGATCGTTAAGACACGGTTTCCAGCAGATCACCGAAGTCAAGCATCACTGGCTATGGTCAGTGTGCGGGTGGGTGACCACTTGGATCAGTCTGCTTAGGGACCGAGGGTGTGCGGTATTGGTCCTCGTTAAACTGTGCTACCTTAAAGTTCTCCACTTCGCGCGCAGGTCGTCTGGTTACCGAAACGGGGGTGCCATCCCCTCCGCAGAGGATCAAAATTGTGATGGCATGTCTTCGGATCATCCTCCGGGATGTTTCCCAGACCGTCGCCAATAGCCCATTGTGCTGCTCCAGTGTGACATAAATTTACAACAACAATAAATAAATCAACAATTAATTGATATTAATATGCCACAAATTTTATACTGTTAAATAATGGCATTAATGTAAATAGGAGCTAAAATAATACATTTTTGTACTGACTAACATATTTTTTACATTCGTACTATAATAACATTCAGATATGAAATGCTCATTTGCATGTAAAGTTAAAGTTGTAAAGATATTAAATGCTAATTTGCATGTAGAGTCGCCAATAGCCTCATTGTGCAGCTCTAGTGTAAAGTAGGCTACCTTGCATGTAAAGTTGAGTTGTAAAGTAACAAATAAGTTAAAATCTCTAGTTATTATACTGTTTTATCATATTTTCTTATTTATGAAACAAAAGTTAAAACTTGGGAATTCTTTATTCATAATATTAATTTGAAAAGAGATGACTGTGAAATGCTTTTTAATTTGAGGCTTCAAATGTTATTTATCCTTATGTTTTAAATAAAAAGAAATCAGATTTAAACCAAAAAGTTATTTTATTTATTTATTTTTTTTCTTGAAAGAAAAAAAAGAAACAATTTTTTTCTAACTCTGGTTTTTTTGTGTGCTACAGCCAAAATTTTTTTTCGGTTAGCCAGTTTAAGTAAATTCAACAATGTTATTTATGTTTTAATTTTGTGTTAAGAAATAAATACATAAATANCGGACCCTTCACAAATTTGTTTATCTTCATTATTATTTTGTTAATCGAATAAACCCATAAACCCTTTCCAGGGCAGAAAACAAGAAAGATGGATGTTAGCGAATCAAGTTTTGTCTTCGGCAGACGATTCTTCCATTATTCGTCCGAAATTAATATTCTGCTTTCAGCAGTATAGACTGAATACCAAATATTTGTATGTTGCATCTGTAATTTAGAAGCAGCCATTGTTGTTTATTTTTTAAAATTTAATTTTTTTAATTACAATTTTACAGTGTTGAGCATAATCTTGAAAATACAGTTGAATCTTGAGAATAAAATTTAAAAACTCCTTGAAAAAATTTTTTTTTTTGCAATAACGGACCCTATTTGCACAAATTCATAAAAGCGGACCCTGGTTGAAAGAATGTGAGTAATTTTTTCACAATTTCACGAAAAACGGACCTTTCACAAAATGTCTAGACAGACCCCTGCTTATGTTTTAAATAAAAAAAAATCAGATTTAAACCAAAAAGTTATTTTATTTATTTATTTTTTTCCTTGAAAGAAAAAAAGAAACAATTTTTTTCTAATTCTGGTTTTTTTGTGTGCTACAGCCAAAATTTTTTTCCTTTTAGCCAGTTGAAGTAAATTCAACAATGTTATTTATGTTTTAACTTTGTGTTAAGAAATAAATACATAAATAACTATTTTTATTTTATTTAAAAAATATAAATAAAGTAATATTGTTGAATTTACTAGCTCCTGGCTATTCAACAAATAACCTGCCAGATATTTCTTTGTTAATACTGGTCCAGGACTGCGCCAACTACCATCCTTAATGTCCCAAAGGGTTGTTATACTTACGAAAATTTAAAGAATTAGAATCTGTTGTGGTTTGCCCTGGAGTGGCTGTGAGTTGTACATTAAGAGTTAGTTGGCAAGATTTCTGTAATGGTACATCATGCTAAAAAATAGCAGCCAAGTTTTGGTAACTCAAATCAGTGGCTCTAATAAAAAGAAAGAAAAACATGATAAAAATGACAAATTTGAAGGATCTACATAACTCAGTGGTTACCAACTGGCGTCCCGCGAAGCTTTTTTTTGTGGCCTGCGAACTAAAATATATCAGTTGTCGTTTTTTTTGTTGACAATTTTCGTAAAAAATTTATATGGGTTTAAAATACTTTTCTTTCGTTTAAAAAACCTAATTTTTTCATTTCTGTGAAATGTAACATACCAACGGTGCAAAAAAATTTACAAGTTTTGCATCCAAGAAAATATTTATTCAAGTACAAAAATAATCGTGTATGTTGCTCTTTTTACTTCGTTTTTTTTTTGTATTTTATGAATATAATTTAGCAAGTTCATATCAGAAATTTTCTCGAAGAAATTCTCCCATTTAACTTTTTAAAAACATTCATTTTGGACAAAATTATTTACATTTGTAAATTTTAAAACGCATAAAAGAGGGAATGAATATCATGTTTTATTTAAATTCCTTGAATTGAATATCGCATGAGCGGAAAAGAAAAAGAAAAATTAATTTCAGATGTTCGAGAATTTGTTGTTGTTGGTATAATTCCTAATAAGTTGAAAAAAATGTTAATTTATCATAGAATTAAATTTGAAAGAAGAAAAAATCTTGTCACTAAATTTCTGATTAAGAGAAGATTCGAAATGATACGTAACAAGCATTATCTGTATTGCTTGTTATTGTGCTATTTAATAGGTAAAAAAACTTTGATAAAATTCTGACTAATATTTGATGTTCCTTCAAACATTAAATAGTCCTATATAAAATTTTGCTAAAGTTGCGGCCTGCCATTTGACTGGTGTTTTTAATTGCGGCCCCCGGCCACATATAAGTTGGATCCCCTGATATAACTCATGGCCTCTTCTGGACAAACTTCTCCATATATTTTTCTTTTAAAATTTTTGCAAATTTAAAATGTGGTATCTTAGTGATTGTTGGTAGCTTGAACAGGTACCATTAAGGAAATACTTCCAGTTGTTTCATTTCAGTAATATTATTTTTTGGTTCCTCATGTGCCACCTCAGGTTGTCATCAAAATGTGGCAGCTTTTGGTGTGCTAAGACAATTTTTATATTATGGTTAAAATTTGATATAATAATCCTTGTAGTCCTAACAGTTTTCTCCCTGGCTTTCAACTAACTCCAAGCATTTGGCTAATTATAAGCACTTGATGCAAAAGTGCTAGAAAAAATGTTAGCCAAACGAAAAAAAAAAGTTAAATTAATTCTCTCCTGCCACCCTAAGTTACTGATCTAAATTCATCTATTGGTTAGAAAAAGTACAAAATGAGTTCTAAAAAAATCAAATTATTAATTCACATAATACCTGTAGCAGATTTACGGTGACATGATAACGTAGTCGCAGAACGTTAAGAGTTTTTCGCGAAAAAATTTTTCTTTTGGGAAGTAAAAAATCTTGGTTTTCTTTTCTGCAAAAATTTACTCATAAAATTTTAATCTTGCATATAAATAATAACTTTTTGAAACTTATTCATGTATGGTTGAATCCAGATGTTGAATTAACGTCAGATTAAAAAAGTTAAATTAAAAAAATTTGAAATTGTTGTGTCATAATAACATTGAGATTTAAGGAAAATGTATGGAAATGATCTGAAATAGGACAAGATCGTTTTTTTTTATTTTTAAAATTGATATTGATATAGGATGAGTCCAGTTTTTAGAGGTTTCTAAATTTTAAAAGTCTGAATTTTTGAGGTAGTACTGTATATTGTTGTAGATGTAATACTGTGTTGTGTGCAAAAAGTTTTTTGTTTTGCTCAACTTATTAAACTAAATTGTTGCAGGTTAAAAGATAGACAGAATGAGTTTCAGCAGTGATGAAGTAAATTTTCTTGTTTATCGATATCTCCAAGAATCAGGTGAGTAGTGTTGATTTGAAGTGAGTAATGAAAATTTTTAATGCATTTATTTACCTAGTAAATAAGGAGACGATTGAAAAATTTAACTTTTTACATGCACGTTAACATAAGAAAGTTCTGTGTAGTGCAGTTTATTTAAAACAATTTGCGTTCTCTACTGAGCTTCGGTGGATTTTTAAGAAAATTCTTCTCAAGGATCCATTAAGGTGGAAATTATGGGTCCTGCTGCTAAAGGAAAAAAAAAGATGAATCCCTAAAAACTTGAGTAAGAAACATTATTATAAATTTTTTTCGAATTGCCTGATTTGAAATTCACTGGTCGTAATAATATCATATTTAAAACATTAACAAATCCCAAATGATGTAAAAATAAAAAAATTAAAAGATGAATAATTAATAATTAAGGAAAAAAATATGAAAACGATCTGAATTTACAACAGAATCTTTGCATCAGAGCATTTTTAAAAATGATAAATGAAATATATTATTTTATGTTTCAGACTGCAGCTGTTGATCTAATTTTTTTTTAATTTTTAATATATGTTATATCATGATATTTTAACTATCTGTTATGTGATCACACCTTATGATTGCTTAATTCAGTGGTTCCAAAGTTTCGGAATGGAAGAAATTGTCTTCTCTAAGCACTATTGTAAAACATTAGAAGTTGAAAAGAAAAATGTAATCCAAAAAGTATGCTGCTCACAGGAAAAAAAAATGGGTATATGATGCACAAAATAATCATGGGTGAGGTATTGGTCTTACTAAATACACAAAAACTTTAATTCTTTTAGTGTTACACAAACAGTTTCTTGCACTTTGAAAGTTAGCAAACTTAAATTTTCTATGTATTATGACCAGGGGCGGATTTAAGTTTAGCAAAGCCCTAAGCTATTGAGGGTAGTGGGGTCCTTATGTATCCAACTCTGTTTTAAGTAAACCAGTAGAAAACTGTCGTAATTTTTTATTATTAATTATTAAACATCAAATAAGAACTTAGCAAAAGCTTATTTTGAAATTTTAATTTATTCGAAAGTATTGACTTAGATTTATAAACTTGTGTGTTAAAACTTATGAAAGCGCATGTAAAAATGTACCAGGAGTATGATGGAAAATTAAATAATATTAAATTATTAGTTCAGGAATTGTCAACTATTAGAGACGGAATAAAAAATTTAATATTCAAAAGTTAGTTCGAGAAATTATTAACTGTTAAACTTGTAGAGAAAAAATACCATATTTGTTTGATAAGTAACTGGTTAAAATGCATCAAAGGAGATAAAATTTGACGTGCTGAAAGGGCCATTTTTATTCATGATTTTAACGTGAATGTTTTATTAAAACATGCCAGGGGGAAAAATAATTTTTTATATAACAAGGTTTTTTAGAAGTCAAAGTTCGAGAAATCGAGAAAATACTGTATATGTTAAAAATACAAAGAAAATAAGGGAAAAAAATTTAAAGGGGAAAAAAATTATTAAATTACAAAAATATTTAATAAATTTTTTTAAAAGAAAATGAATAAGTTGGAAAAAAAAATTAGGAGAAGATATAATTTTGTCGTCAGCTTACAAGGTTTCATCTGCAAAAGATGAAGGTTATAAAAGATTATATCCACAGAAACACTCTTTTTTTATAGATATTATCGTGTGAGCTGACCACGAGATTATATATTGTCTTTATTTGTTTTCGACTTTTAAATTTTCAAGATTTAAAAAACATATTATTTTCAATTATAGAATAATTGTTTTTATTATATAATTTGTAACCATTTTAAGAGACAAATATATGTTAATGTCTAATATTTAATCAAGGAAAAAACATAACCCCTATTGAAATCTAACGAATCGCCCTGGAAAAATTTTGTGGGGAAAAAAATAAATTAAAGCCTGATAAATTTCCGGATTTTAGAAATGATTCCTTGTTTAATTATTCGACCAAAGGGGATTTGATGTCTTTTATCTCAACTGCCTCATTAGTGATTTAACATATTTCGATATCATTTTTGTTTCCTTTTTAGTTAAATATTATTTTGCGACAGTCAGTTAGTTTGTATTTCTTTATTTACTTCATTTTTACAAGAAGCTTAAAAATGTATGTTGAGGGCATTGACTGAAATTCAATAAGCTTTTTTTCGACAGTAACTCTTTTACTAACATCATCCATGCACCCATGCACTACTGTCTGCTCAGCATGTGATAATATAAAATGAGGTAGCAAAGCAAAACGTGTGGAGCTAATTAAAATCTTTTTCGAAATTATTAGATAATTTTTTTTAAATTGGCAATTTCAGTCATTTTTTAGATATTTTAAAGTGCTATATAAAACTGCAGCATATCACATTTGTGCAATGAAAGCATTGAATATATAGTATGTATAGTTGTAAAATGAAATAAAAAGAAATTTTGATTCTTAGAAACAGATATTCTCATGATCCAATGATGGAATAAAATTACCTTTTTAGCAAATCAAAAAACTTTTTCAAAAAGCTTTATTTTAAATTGACTAAAATGTTTTTTAATATTTTTAAATGATTTATTTCTAGTCAAATTGTTTAAATCATGATATGTTCCCATCTTTTGAAAACAAAGTTTTTATTTTAAAACTATATTTATTCAGTTATTCTGAATAAATATAGTATTTATTCTATATTTATTCAGTTATTTATTATTTTTTTATTCAGTGATTTATTTATTTACTTACTTTTTATATGTTTTATTTAATTATTAATTTTGTTTTATTAAATTAAATCCACACATCTTAAATGAAAACAATGCTGTCCAAATTTCATTAACAGTTTGAAGTTTCGATTTGCAATTCTAAAAAGAAGTTTCGATTTCATAAAAGCCTTGTTAAATAAAAATTCAAAAGCCTTATTAATTTTTTACACATAATAATAACAAAGATCAAGGTGTTAATAATTGAAGCAACTATGATCAATAAGCAATAAAATCATAAGCTAACTGTAAAATCAAAATAAAATCACATTTGTTGTCTTAATTTCATCCAGCCAGAATATCCCAACCAAATCAAGAATTTTGGCAGATAATCCTGTCAGAGAGGGAATTGAAAAATTGCACACCATTTAAATAAGTTTACAAAAAATCACGAAATATTAAAAAAAAAGTAAAAATATATATATTGCATACCTCTGTTTTCCCTAACCATAACAATAAGTTGCTTAATAAAAACATTTGCTTACCCTCTATAGGTGATAAATTTGAAAGTCTTCGTAATATCCAAGAAAAATTTTGATATAGAAATTTGGAGTAACAGGTTCATGTGCGATTAATTTGAAAAATGATAAAATAAAGTAAAATCAGTTACAATAATTAGGTAAATTAACCAATTAGGCTAGTTAAAACAATTAGAATAATTAAAGGGAAAAAGCATTTAATTGAATTATTCATTTAATTTTTAATAAATTAAAAAAAATATCTAAATTATGTTACTGAGAAAAATTTGAATTGAATGAGGGCCACTCTAATCAGGTTGTGTCGCAACATAAATCTCAAGACAAGAGTAAAAAAAAAAAATAAAAAAAAAAATGCTAACAAGACTCTCCCTCTTCTTATTGCCCTAGAAATTTTCTGTTTCAAGCAATTTATCACCAGACAATTAGACAAAATAATTCCTCTCTTGATATCCAATCCTTCCAAAGTAAGGACAAAAGAGCCGAAGGCAATTTAAAGAAACTAAGAACATTTTTTCCACAGTGTAAAATGAGATGGCTATTTGACAACTCTATGGGTGGTGGATACGAAAATGGAGTTATTTTCATCTGTGAAAAAAACATTTTATTCCTTTTTTGGTTAGAAAAGTAACGAGTAACAATTATTTTAAATTTATAAACACGTCCATCAGATTTTGACCAGCGCTGGCCAGTGTAAGAAAAGAATTTATTTTGGGCTTCAGAGAGCCCCAGCTCCAAAGAAAGCTTAAGAAAAGGGAGGCACTGGGGGCAATTGCCTTCTCGGGACCCTACGCTGCAGCCAGGGTTGGGTTTTTGACGTCAAAAAGTGGTTTTTGACATGACAAGGGTATAATACTGGTTTAAACCGTCAAAAACCGGTCAAAAATGTCAAAAACTGAAGTTTGCCAAGAAAATATATAAACTTCAAAACTACCAACAACATTGATTAAATATTTACTAACTTAATTATACTATA